TAACGAAATAAGCGATGTTCAAAATTTTTAGTTCACACTTTGACTGAGACCTAGGAAAGATAAGAATATCATAACAAGTACACGCAGTCAAAAAAATAAATCCTATTACGWATTTTTCCCACTTTGGCTTGATTTGGATTATGTTTGTATTTGTATTTTATACACTTTAGACAGTCAATGTTTTATCARGCGCTGTTCACCYCCCCAAYTCTGCTTCTGCTTCWATTGGCAGWTTTTTTCAATTAAATTGGATCCACATTGATKGAAATKCAAGCAAAAGTGAAACATTTYCTTCRGAGTTGAATTGAGGCGCCCTTGCAGTAACGCACATTTTYATATTGATTATKRAATTGWKYCAAGAYWACKATGAATAAATTACGTRARYTTGAGMACAYAKGTCTGTAATTCAAGTACATTTTTCGAAAATTAWTTCCRAATGTAATWAGGAAGATTAGCAGCTAAATCTAATCTAAACCAAGAAATCTGTAGCAGAAAAGATAAGAGCRAATGCAGGCAARCGTCAGAGAGAAAACATCAACTCGACGTTAATTAATCTCGTAATGAACGAGCTGATTAATCGGGCAAAATACAAAAAATCAATTCTGAGAAGGACATAATCCAAACAAAGCACGTGACCACTCAGCATTCTAGAACCAGTTTCCAGTACGATCTGAACCATATTCTCAGAAGTTGTAATCTGAGGCCCTTTCTACGGTTTGTGAAAATGGTATCAGTCTATTTCTCCAAATTCGAAATGAGATTTTTTAAAGACAAAAGCGTGCATAAGTGTAAAAATGTCCATTTTCAGTCAACTTTTAGCAGGTCGCTAAAAATCAGAATTTACTGAGATCAGACTGAAATTCAAGGTTTCAAGAAGGCAACGACCTGAAAGAACGTTGATTTTTACCAATCATGAGTTTGTGTAAATTTTAAATCTGATGATGGCGCTGTTGTCTCGCCGAAACCTAACGAAATAAACAATGTTCAAAATTTTTACTTCACACTTTGACGGAGACCTAGGAAAGATAAGAATATTATAGATAATAGGGATTATTACACAAGATATCCAAGAGTGTGAGGGCAACCTAATAACAAATTTGGCACATTTTCGGAGGTTGGCAAATAATCGTGGATTATGCGTCAAATTTACAACTAATGCTGCTAAACCCCAGAAAAATATAATCGAGGCTTAAACCCGATTATCGTGTTCACACACCTTGATTGATAATCCCCGCACGAAAAATCGTTTTCGAATCCCAGGGGTTTAAGTCTGGCGCTACTGATGATATAAAAATCACCTCCACTGCCGGTTCTGGTACTAGTGAGGGTTTGAGCTGCGAAAATGAAGGTCCTGATCGCTTTTCTTGGATTGGTCAGCTTGGGGCTCGGTAAGTGTTCTCCTGAGAGCAAAACCGTGCATTATCCGCAACGTCCGCAATCCACAGCTGCCCCAGAGGGTCACAATCCCAAGTTGCTCCATCCCCAAATTGGAGGACGCATCGTTGGAGGAGACGAGGCCAATATCAGGGACCTGCCATACCAAGTGGCCCTGCTACGAAACAACGCCCAAATCTGCGGAGGATCCATCATTGCACCAACCGTCATCCTCACCGCTGCTCACTGTGTGGAGTTTTGGGTTATTCCTGATGTTTCCATGCTGAGCATTCGGGCGGGGTCCTCGCAATGGCGCTCTGGAGGCCAGCAGGTCGCTGTCCGGGAAATCGTTATTCACGAATTGTACGATGGCGATAACAGTCTTGACTACGACATTGCCATTCTGCACTTGGCCGAGAGGATTAACACCATCAATGCCTCAGAAGTGCCTTTGGTCAACAATGGCGAAATCTTCGATGCTGGTAAGTTTTTGGGGTGTTGGAGGCTTGCAGGAGAAGTGTTTTTGGTGTAATTTGCCTGTCCAAGCTTCCGCCAAAGACATAATGTTAAACCACTCGCTCTAGAAGCAGTTTCTCCAGCTAAACCCTGTTGATTTACTAGGAACATACGGTACCGTTTCCGGATGGGGCACAACCTTCTCAGGGTCCAGCGTTTCTCCTGAAACGTTGCGACGGGTGGACGTTCCCATTGTAACGCAAACTCGATGCAGGATCTCCTACGGATCAGACATCACGTCCCGAATGCTCTGCGCCGGATACAATGAGGGAGGAAAGGACGCCTGCCAAGGAGACTCTGGTGGACCTTACGTGATCAACGGCCGTTTAGCCGGAGTCGTTTCCTGGGGATTCGGCTGCGCCACTCCTCTGTTCCCCGGAGTTTACGCCAGCGTTGCTGGACTCAGAACCTGGATCACCCAACACTCTGGAGTATAAGTGAGCTTGACACCTTCAACTAAATAAAGATTCGTTGCATCCAGAAACGCAATTTGCTTCTTTGGGTCCTGGTGAGTCCTGCTCCCTTTGAGGTATGGGGAACAGCTGAAAAATACCGATAAACCACTGTGAACCATCCAGTCAATTGGACAAGGTTGGCTGTTTTATCGTGAGCTGTCCATTTTCCGATTCTCCGAAGCCAAGCCGGTCGCATGTCTTGTGAGATTGATGCGGATGAGATCGAAATCAACAATACCGATAACCATCTGAGAAACGATTGTCCGTGATGGGTGCGTTCTCTAAACAAAGAAATATCAATTATTCGCTGAATGCCTTTCGATGGATTGACTGGCGCTCAAACTGGGCCTCGACAACGCCAGCAGCGGCCTTAAACCGGCATTATTTGCATGTTTTTGGTTCCAAATGCTTTAACATCTCTAATTTCTGTTGAAAATAATGGGGACGACATGCGGGTTGTTGA